ATACAAACAATAATCTAAATGTTTTATTTTTCTCAAATAAATTGCTAAAAATATTATCTAAATCTAAATTATGTATTCAAATCGATGTGTCCATTGAAACATATAATTTTTCGAATACGGAATAAAGCGAAAAAGAATGATCATATCCTTTGTATTCGAAAAAATTAAAAATAAAAAGAAAAATATTAGAGATGATAAAATCTTATCAACTTGGTACCAACTTTGGATACAATAAACAACTGTATCTGTCGTAGTCTCGTAGTTTATTTTTGTTAAGATTTCCGCCGGGTGTGGGGCGCACACATGGGCTTTTTTTAAGAAGTTTTACCTCTATCACGTGTAGGTGTTGCACTCGTGTTATTAAACTAATGCTTTTTTCTCAAGTAGTTTTGCTCAGTGGCAATTTATACATATGTATGTAAGTAGTAGCGGCACACTGGGTGAACTAAATTCATACATACTAGAGGTATACGCCATCGAGCCACGCCGCCGCCGCCGCCGTTTTTTGTCATTTCTCACGCACCGCCGCCGAGTTACGTAAATATCGGCGCGGCGGCGGTGGCGGCGGCGTTCCGCGCCTAAGGAATTTTGTACAAAATTTTCATGATGTATTTACATGGAAATACATAGTTTGAAGGAACTAAATACTACTTGTATAAAAACACTATTTTACGAAAAGAAAATTAAATTTTTAAAGGAGTTTTTTTGCATAATTTGGGCCACTGAACATTTCCAAAAAAGCGTAACTCAGAAAAAACATAGGCACTTTTCAAAAATAGTAATATTTCAATAAATTTTTGTGAAATCCTTTGCGTGTATTTCTTTTTCTCAACTAAAAATTTCTAATTTATATAGTGTATACAACTGGTTTATCTTACTATGGCATTGGACTTTTGTTTTAGAAATTTGATTCTAATTTGAATGCTAAATGGGAAGAATTATAAAGAACGGCACCTTTTTTATCACTTTTATTTTTCTATTTGGCACATTTTGGCACTTTTTTATCCTCAATATGGCACTTCATAGCTAAGTATGGTTGCAAGCCCTGTTCCTAAGTGGTGGTCAAATCCCAGGGAGCGTTTGCTCCCGCGCATCGCAATGTCTTCTACATAGGGTTAAAGTCCCCATTTTTCTTAAAAATAACTATTATTTTTCATTACATTCAGTTCTCCTTAGAAAAATTTGGCGTTTAATATTTTAGTGGACATTTTAACCACCTATAAGCCATTTTTTAAAAGATGGGTCAGAAAGGCTTGTTCTGGTAGAAGTTGACCAAACCTTGTTTTCAATATATAACCCGCAAAAAATCGTAACAACTCCGTAATTAAACATAAAATTTTTGATAGCGACATAAATTACCCCAATAACTTAACTTTTTAAATTTTTTTATTTCTTTAAATTTAAGTAGTATATACGGATTTGTAGAGAACATAGAGATCTATTTATATACGTTGGACTCTCTTCTGTTTGCCCATCCATCAGCGGCAGACACTCAACATTTAATTCAAGTACAAAGTAACGTAATTTTAATTAAAAACTAGTTCAATGAATTATTTAAATAAAATTACAATCTGAATAGGCATGGCCAATGTCTAACGCTGACGAGATGACATGATAAGATTAGTAAGTTCATGTCTCTATGGAATCTACCTTATGGGCAGTAGCGCCAGCGTTTCCAGACGAGCCGGCGTCGCCGCCGGCGCCGATTCTTTTTCAAGTTGACCACGCCGCCGCCGCAAAGCCTGGCGTAAACCTCTAATACATACATATTTATGTACAACTGTAGGTAATATTGTACGAGTCTTGACAGGTAGGTTAAGTGAGGGTGATAAACTCATGTAGCATAGTATAATACTGTGTACATACCCTGTAGGGAAAACACGAACTAGTGAACCAAATTTCTGGTTCAGTACTAGTTCTTTTTCGCCAAAAGCGAAACAGTCCGATAGTAACTAGTCCCGCACCAGTCCAAAAGCAGTGAAATGTGATACTTTCAGTAACCTATTTTATTTCAAATTTTAAAAGCAGGGAAGGTAATCATTATGAGTAAAATAATTTAAATCAGCATTTAATCATTATTTCATGAATTATTATGAGTTTTATTTTTTCGCTTAAACGGAAATAATTATTATTTGATTTTTATTTTGGCCTTACAAATAATGATTATTTTATGATTTTTATTTTTTTGTGGAGAGATTATCATTATTTTGAATTATAATTTTCCACTTAAAAATAATGATAATTTATAAAATTGAAAAGGCCATACAGACGCAACCTACTGAAATTTTGACCTGAAAAGTTTGGGTCTTATTACTCTTTTAAGAGTGCGACTTCCTCTCAAAAGGATACGTCGGTAATCACGCTGGTATAGTTTTTGAGTTGCTTAATAATCATTATACTTAGTGATTCCATAAACAAAGGCCAAGATCCTGAAGGACAATTGAGAAAGGCAATGCAGTTGCAGAAAAAGAGGTATTTAAAAAAAAAAGTGTCAAAATAATTACCACTTTCTCACTAAATTTATTTTAAAATGCAAGCCACCGGATCTACCTTTTTTTTAAGAAAAGACAAATTAATTTTTGTTTTATGCAATCCAGCACAGCTACCTTAATACAGTCAGTCAATAAAGTTTAGGTACAACGAATTTTTTACAATACGGGCAACTATTTTTTAAATATTTTAGTTTTCGGTAATTTTTTATAAAATCCCCAAAAATCAGAGTTCCAAACCTTGTGCAAAATTTAAGAAAATTCTGCAAAATTTCATTAAAATAATTCACTTTCTATTTGTGCTCTCTAGAAAAAGTTGAGTTTGCACTTTTTTAGCCCATTCCATTTTAGTATAATGAAGTGCAAGTATGAGGAATCTAGGACTTACCAAACAACAACAAAAAATTGCTGCCTCAAACTTGCACTTTGGTATACTAAAATTGAATGGGCTAAAAAACTGCGTACTTAACTTTTTTCTAAAGAATGTAAATTGCAATATTTGGATGGAAATTTGCGGAGTTTTCTTTAATTTTGCATAAGGTTTGGAACTCTGACTTTTGGAGTTTTTGGTGTAGAACTAACCATATTCCAAGCACGATTGATAGTAGTGAACATCACGCTCCATGTCGCGACTCTCCACATCAAATACATAAATAAGTACTTCCACATTACGAAAGATGTTGTCACGCTGTGAAGCAAAATATTGCTGCATAAAGCCCTCCTGGCCACCACAATCCCACAAGTTGAGTACTAGGTTCCCCAAAAAGCGTACATGCGAGTGCTCTACGTCAACTGCCAACACAAAAATTTCTAAGATTTAGCATTTGCATAGTACAAAGGACTATTATAAATTAGTAAATTCGTTTCCAGCTGTCTGCATTACTTACTGGTTGCACCCAGCCGCGTCGTATCTCGCGCTATGTAGTTGGCAAATATTATCGAACGCATGCTGGTTTTGCCAGAGCCACTTTTGCCCATTAGTAAAACCTTTTTCTTCATTTTTATTTTGTTTGTCCTGTACTTGTATAAACACGTTTAGTAATTCTGATGTAAAAATAATAACTTTTTGAATCCCAATCGTTATCCGCAAAAAATTAATTCATCCAATTGGACTGATAATCATCAATTGGTGTTTTGACAGCTGAAACGAAAACAGCTGTTTGGATCGTATTTGCGTGCTGCCGTACTATTGAAGTGAGCAGAACTCAAGGAATTAAAAAAACGAAAATTATTTGGGGTATTCACAACGGTGTCGTAAGAGTCGTCAACAGAAACGATTGATTTTTTTGGTAAACGCTAAAATTAACCTTACAATGCATCCTTGGATCAAGGTCTTCGATTTTGTCAGCCAAAATGTAAAATAGTATAAATGCATTGGCAAAAGCATAAATACAGACGGGACATTTAGTTTTAGCTAATATTGTTTTGTTTATTTTATGTTTATTATTTTTTTATGTAAGTATATGTAGTTCGTTATCTCAAAAAAGGGTTGGCTTTCCAAAACGAAACCAATCGAGATTTCAGCGAAAGTATAAGGAATTTCGTCATGAAACTTGTGAAGATGTTGGAGGAGGCTTACTCTACATGAATATATA